AGTTAATTAACTTAAACCTTCCCTTGATTGCTAACTTCCGCGGTCTTTCCAACCAGAAATTCGACCAAAAGGGGAATTATAATTTTGGAATAAATGACCCAAACATTTTTCTGACTGTTCCTTATGATTTGACTTTCAAAAATCAAGGAGTTCAAATTACTATTGTTTTTAAATCTTGTTCGACCGAGGAGAATTTTTATTTTTTAGGTTTATTAGGTTTTCCTTTTAAAGAAAAAAATCTAAAAACAAATTAAAACTATTAGAAAACTAATGAGTTCAAAAGGAGCAGAACAAAGTGATAGTCAAAAAAAAGAAAACGGCGATAATTACTATTACCCTGCCGAGCAAAGTCATTGGGAAAAATATCAACTTTACTACCTTGTTTTTGGTAGTTTCTTGGTCACCATTGTAATTGTTTTAATTAGCAATTCTAATACCAATAAACAAATCAAAAAAATTAATGACCGTTTGGATGGAAAAAGTCCCTTTTCGTCTTTTCTTTCTGATTTTGGTTTTTCGTCAGATTTTTCCTCAGAAACCAGTAATTATTTGGCTCGCTTGAAGCGAGAACCATTTCCACCTTATGTTAAGAAAAAAGTAGAGGGAGAAATCGCAAAAATCCGAAGGAATGCCTTTGGTGGTCAAACCAAAGAAAGTCGAGAAGAGTGGATCGAACAAGTAATGTCTTTTCCTTGACACCAAGTTAGTACTGAGAATAGTAATTTAGCCAAGGTAGAACAAGCACTAGACAAAAAACATTTTGGAATGAGGAAAGTGAAGGAACTAATTATCGAACATTTGGTCGCCAAAAAACAGGCGAAGAAAAATTTCGGTGAAGTGCTTTGTTTAGTTGGTTCGCCCGGAGTGGGAAAAACTTCTATCGCGAAGTCAATTGCTCAGGCACTAGGTAGACCATTCGAACGAGTTTCCCTAGGAGGAGTTCACGATGAGGCAGAAATTCGTGGTCATCGCTCCACTTATGTCAGTTCTAAGCCGGGAGTAATCGCCCAAGCTCTCCAAAGAGCAAAAGTAAAAAATCCGGTAATTTTAATTGACGAAGTTGACAAAATTGGGGAAAGTAAATATCACGGAAATCCGGCCGCTGCTTTCTTAGAAATCCTTGACCCTGAACAAAATGAAGAATTTCGCGATCACTACCTTGAACTACCAATTGATTTATCCCAAGTTATGTTTATTTGCACTGCTAACCAAATGGAGACCATTCCCGGACCTTTACAGGATCGAATGCAAATAATTGAAATACCTTCCTACACCAAAGATGATAAACAACAAATTGCCGAAAATCATTTAATTCCTCAATTATTAAAAAAATATAATTTAACCAATGAGCAATTAACTTTTGAAAATTCGGCGATTCGAGAAATCATTGACCGTTATACTTGGGAAGCGGGAATACGGAACTTGGAAAGAGCCTTGACAAGCATTATTCGTAAATTTGCCTATAAAAAGGAAAAAGGAGAATTAAAAACTGAAACTATTACTTCAGAAAAGGTTGGAGAATATTTGGGCAAACCGACCACTGCTGATTTAACTTTTGAAGCCGATTATTCTATACCGGGAGTAGTGAACGGTTTAAGTGTTTATAATCCAGAAAAAGGAGGGGGTGATGTCTTGCCCATTGAAGTAAGTTGTTTTCCGGGCAAAGGGGAAATTATAACTACCGGAAATTTAAAAAAAACCATGAAAGAATCGGCTCAGGTGGCCATTTCCTATGTTAGGAAGAATGCCAACCAGTTTGGTATCAATACTACTGATCAAACTAAACCAAATTTTTTTAACTTTGAGGAAAAGGATATTCATATTCATGTGCCTAAAGGTGGAATACCTAAAGATGGTCCTAGTGCCGGAACGGCTTTGACTACCGCCATTATTTCTGCTTTAACCAATAAACCGATTGGTGCAGATATCGGAATGACTGGTGAAATTACTCTGCACGGACAAGTTTCGGGAATTGGCGGATTACGAGAAAAACTTAATGCAGCTTACCGAAAAAATTTGAAGACGATTTTTATTCCCCAGAGTAATGCAAACGATTTAGAAGAAGTTTCCTCCGAATTAAAAGAAAATTTAACCATTATTCAAGTAAAAAAATATTTGGAAATTTGAAAAAATTTATAACATTTTACTTTGTCCTAGGAAAGAAGTTAATATACCAATGAGATTAAAATTTAATAATAATTATGGAAAAGGAAGATAAATATAGCAAACTATTGATTGAGGGAGGTTTATTTGCTTATGGAGCGACCAAAGGAAGTTTCATTTTGCCACCGCATGGTTATGCTCTTTGAAAAAATATTCAAAATGTTTTGGATAAAAAATTTGCTACTCGGGGGGTGCAAAATGTTCTGTTGCCAACCCTTATTCCGCTTAATTTATTAGAAAAAGAAAAAAAACACATTGCCGGATTTAGTCCGGAATGTTTTTATATTGAAAAAATTGGAGAAAAAAAAATTGAAACTACCTTAGTTTTACGACCTACTAGTGAAGTATTGTTTTATGAGTGGTATCGACAAATATTACAGAGTTACCAACAACTACCTTTTTTGTATAATCAGTGGTGTTCGAGCTTTCGAGCCGAAAAAAATACTGCTCCTTTTTTTAGAAACACCGAATTCCTTTGGCAAGAAGGGCATACTATTCACAACCGTGCTGAGGAAGCTCAACAATTTGCTTTAAGCATCCTTTCTGACTACCAAAATTATGCCGAAAATACTCTGTGTTTAGGAGTAATTATTGGTAAAAAAACTGAAGGAGAAAAATTTGCCGGAGCTCTGGAAACCTACACCGTGGAGTGTTTATTGCCAGATGGACAATGTTTGCAATTTGCTACTAGCCATTACTTTGGTGATAATTTTTGCCGCCTAATGCAGGTTAAATTCCAAAACCAGGATAACCAAATGCAGTATCCTTTTTCGACTTCTTGAGGCACCTCCACCCGCGCCATTGGAGCAGTTGCCAAAACTCATGCTGACCATTGAGGCTTAATTTTACCTTTTGAGATTGCTCCCGTCCAAATTGCTTTTGTGCTGGTTAAAGAAAACAAAGAATTAATTAATTACTATCAAGCAATAAATAGTTGGTTGGCTCCTCACTATCGTTGTCAATTGTATCACAAAAGTCCCCGAGTTAATTTGAATGTTCTACAAGCTGATAAGGAAGGTTGTCCGCTTAAAATAATTTTGGGAATGGAAGAATTAAAAAGAGAAGAAATTACCTTAGTCAGAAGGGATAATGTAGAAAGGAAAATTACCATTCTTCTAGAAGACGATGAGACCGAGAAAAAATTTCTCCATGCTTTTGAAAATAATCTGGCAGAGAACTTAGAAAAATATGATTCGGGAAACAAGCCTCGGGAGCAATTAGCCGCCGAACACAAAGAAATATTAAATTCAGCCAAAAAGGGACTTAAAAGAGATAAAATTATTAAGGTCGTTGAACAAGAAGTAATTGAGTTTCAAAAAAATCTTTACCAAAAAAGTTCTGATTTTCGTGATAAACATATTTATCCAACCAACAATTTTGCTGAATTAGAGCAAAAAATAAAAGAAGGAATAAAAGGTTTATTTTTAATTCCCTTTTGTAACAAATTAGAATGTGAGATAAAAATCAAAGAAAGAGTTCCTTCATATAGTATTAGGTGTATTGCTTTGGGGGAAAAAATAATTGAACCCCTAAAATGCCTCTTTTGCCCATCGGTAGCCAACGATAGAGTTTATTTAGGTAGGTCTTATTAAAAAATTTCAAATTCTTGTTTTAAATTAAGTGAGTATATTTAAAAACCTATAAACTAAATATGTTAAATTTTTATAACAGCATTTATGTACTCGTTAACTTCTTGCCCAAAATTAGTAAAATATAAATTATACTGTAAAAAATAACAAAAAACCTTAAATTGCCTATGGAGATCACAATTAAATATGTTAAACAACAATTTTCAAAAAAAAAAAAAGCACCTAGCACTAATTGCCTAGGTATATTCAAATTATAAACTTATGCCATATTGTATATTTCCAGTTCGTTCAAATTGCCAATGTGGCAAGTGTAAAGATTTCACAGGAGGTTGAAACTGCAAGTGTGGAAAATGTGGTGAAGGATGTGCAGCTTCTATTAGAGATTTAGAAAAAAACTATCCCTTGTTTAAAGACTTTTTAAATAGTTGGAAACACGAATATAATTCAGCATCTTGAATTTGTTCTCAGTGTTGAAGAAAGGATATAGTGGAAACAGAGGAAAAACAAGAAGAAAACATTAAGAAAAAAAGAGAAAGTCGACATAAACTTTCTTATTGCCACACTTGCAACAATAAATCTGCTATCTACCACTACATTTATGACAAAAGAACTGGAAAAATCGAAAAATCATTATTCGATTCGACTGATTCAAATAATCAACTAGTTTTTTGTAATCAAACTTGCTTTAACAAATATATGGAAAAACAAAATGCCTATATTTGTGCTGAATGTGGCAAAAGAGGCAGTGGAGATTATATTTATAGCAAAACTGATCTAGAAAGAAAGTAATTTTGTTCTAAAGAACACTGGCGAGATTATAC